ACCAGAATATAGTCCTGCCTTGCTTTTGTCGAATCAGCCTGATGATTAAATGAAGTTAAGAGCATGTTAGGAAGCTCTTGAGTAATCTTAGCAACAAGAGGAAGTGTAGCAACACAGAGAAACGAGCTGACTCCAGCTGTATTGAGTGTCAACACAGAGAAAATGTCAGCTTTAATGTTTTCCAACATGGTGTCTCAGTGTTTACCTGAACTCTTGCTCGAACAACATCCATGGGGTTGGTGATGGTGGAGGCGGTCGCTGCTGCCATTGGTCCGGCCAAAGCCTGCAGAATCAGATGGGGGCACTCGGTGGGGGCCATCAAGGACAGCTGCTCTGGAAACGTAAAGAATATAAAAACACTGTAAGCCCAATATATTAGTGGTTTCGGTCACTATTTAAATGCCTCCAGCAGCCAAGAACATTCAATATGAATCCAATCTAACAGAGTATGAAGAGAAATTGAGAATTGTGTTCAAATCTGTCTGATTGAAATTGTATGCCTCCTAAGTTATCAATTATATTTATTAATGCTGGCATTTCTTTCTTACATTGGCTAAACTCATGCTTCATGGTGTCCAACTGGTGCTTTCCATTTGAATCCCTTCACTTAGTCCTTCAGTGTTATATTTAACCAATATGTTGTTTCTACGTGCCCGTTTAATATTTCTAAACGGGCACCGACGATGAAGTCCTATACAGGCCAACTTTTCTTTCACATAGAGAATGCATCAGGAAATCATAAAGAATCTGACCGGTGTGCTGAATCAATAATGACATTGGTATCAATACAATTTATTAAACAGGGTGTTTCCTTACCTGTATAAAAATGATAAAAAGGCCACCAGAGTGCACTGTTTGGGATGTACGTGAGAAGCGATGCCACGTATCCCCGGTAAAATCCCCTGAAACCATCAGCAGCAAATATCTGCACCGTGATGTCCCGCGATTGGCCGAAAATGAGTTTACGCTTCGACGCTGCGAGCATCCTCTTGGGTTTGGCCTTGAAGCGAGTCAGGTGCTCCCCCTGGCCCTGCATCATCAGGTGCTGGGACACGATGTCGATGGGCACCGTGATGGTCTGAGCCACCAGAGAAGCTGCTCCTCCAGCCACCACCGACTTCACGGTGTTACTGGGAGAGTACTGGGACACGTACTTGCGCACCAGCTCGTACGTGGTGATGTAAGCCTGACCTGAGATCAGCGTGAAGGTGTTGACCATGAAGCCCCGGTAGAGGCCTCGCACACCCTCCGCTCGAATGATCTTGCAGAAAGCATCGATGGTGCCGGAGTAGAGGGCCTTCCCCTTCTGCACTTGCAGCCGGGTGCGGATCAGGCTGGCCGGGTACACGCTGGCCCTGGTGGTCAAGGTCATGAACACGCCCAGGGAGTAGAACTTCCTCTTGTCCAGGTCCTCCCATTCGATGATCTGCATCACACCTTTCTGCTGCATGGTGCCAGTGAGGGCAGCGCTGCGCCACTAAAGCCACGGATCTGAAGTCATCGGTCCTCCGACGGCCATCACACCTGTCAACAAAAACATTCACCGTTATTGAAGTTATACAATATTAGTATTTAATTATTTTATCTGATTTCTTGGATCAGATTTGGATGGTTGTCAAGAGCCATTACCAGGGTTTGTAAAAGGTTTTGAAGGTTTGAGAATACTTATTTTTAACAGTTATGCTTTCAAGGTTAGGACTCTGCTTTTAGTGTCTTTGGAAGAAACTGCAGATGGAAATGAGCCATTAGCTCAAATCTGGCAAAAAACAAATCTTCTCTTTTCTAAGATTAATGTTATGTATGCATGGTCCTTGTTTAAATAAATACATAAACAATAAGAGGGAAAGGAAATGCATGTCAATGGGGGTCCTAACCCTCTTTATTAGGGTCATTGTGTGTTGGCCTGTGGAGAATGTGAATGGATGATGGCTGTCAGGCAGGCCAATGAATGGGATAAAAATGTTAGTACTGAAGGAACTCGGCCTCCTTCCTGCCAGAGGAACACCTTTCAAAACGTTTGTGTCCAGGATCAAAGGGCTCAATCTTAAGGTTAAATATATATCAAAAGGAATGTCTTTAGATGTATTGATAATAGGTCCAAAACCCCAAACATACTCATTTTGCTTATTATTTAATATGTGTATGTCAATGGGTTGTGGCTTTGCAGCTATATAAAAAAGGTTTAAAAACGCATCTTTTTAGAATAGCCTTTAACTAGATTTTTAAATCCCCCACATTATGCCATGCCGGCATGAATGTCACAGCTTTTATTATGTTGTTTTAATTGTTTTTTAATTGTTTATTGTTTTTGTTTCACCCTTTTTAATTTTTTAGCACTTTTGTTTTGTTTACACAAATGAAAAGTGCGCTTATAAATAAAATATATTATTATTATTATTATATGTTCCTGACAACACAAGAGTGGCAATGTCTGAATTCTCAGTTTACAAGATAATTCAATACATCTCTGCAGAATAAATTGAAGGACATGTCGCAGGATTACAATAGGGGAAGAGTTTTTTTTACTTCCCTTCACACACAGCTATTGTAACAACATTTAAAAAAGGTACTTGTCACAACAGGACAGACCTGTGGCTGATCGAACACATCGAATGTGGAGGGCTGTGCCACTGGCTGTATTTACACATGCTACATTAAAGAAACCATATCTCAGGAACTACCTTATGTAACTTCACTTCATGTTATGCGGAACTATAGGACAAAGAGGGAAGTTTACAGCAGAGACTAGAATGACATGTACAGCTTCTATGCAGCTTTCTATGCAGCTGGTAATGTAATCACTGAGGGTCAGCATGTAAAAACAAAAACAGGATTTATCCTTATATACATATTTAACGACACATTAAGCAGCCACATGCCATGTTAAAGTCTAATTAGCGATTGATGTTGTTATGCAGTGGTTGGTGAAGGAAAGCGGAAACACGTGCAATGTCACACAGTGTCCTCGCGCTGTGTTAGCTAGCAAACAACAAAACTGATACAAAGTGTGTAAGAAATAGGCAGATGTAACTAAAACACACCGATAAAACATACCTGTGCGGGGGTTTAGTAGCTCCAGGGTCTCTGTTGGTGTTGTTGTTAAACTCTTTGCTCTGCTGCAAGGTGGGTTATGTCTTCCGTCCATTCCTGATTTAACACACTGATATAACACACAGTCAAAGGTTAAAGTTCATGGGTTGTGTTTTACTCGGTTTAAGGTAGCGTTTTGTTGTTGATATCATTAATTTACCTTGGATTAATAATATGTGATCTGACGTTAGTTTTCTCCTCCAGATGACCCTGTAATGGTGATGTTTACCCGATGTGTTTACATTAGCGAGTTAGCAGTTTGACGATGGTGATGCATTCAGGCCCGAGGCAAAAGTAGGAATTACAAGAAACCAGTACAAACAATGAACAAACAGATCTTTCTACTCAAGCTAAATTATAAATAATACCACAGTGTAAAATATTGCTACATGTGATTCAAAACTAGTTAAAAGCCCTACGTGTTAGCATCACAATACTTAAGGTATTAAAGGAAAGGCATTTGTTTGACAGAATGGTCTTCTTCAGATAGTTTATGGGTCACAAATACAAAGTGTACATTGAGCTGGCCAAATACAGATAAAATGTTGATGGTTTATTACCGTTTCCATTTTTTTTTGTATGTCTAAATGTTCTCCAATTCTGGATTGACCCTTATATTATTATATATAATATGAATTATATATTACTGATGCTTTTAACACTTAAAGGGGACCTATTATGCAAAATCCACTTGTTCATGTCTTTTATACATAAACATGTGTCCCCTCTATGTAAAGAGATTCTGAAAGTTTCAGGAAAAAAGATTCTCTCTCTTTTTGTCCTGATCCATTTATATAAAAACCTGTCTGAAAATGAGCTGATCAGATTTTGGCCACTTTATGATGTCATAACGATTTTTTGGTTTGTGTAACCATTAGCCAATCACCAACCAAGGTAACCCCCCCACACACACAATGCTATGACTCGAGTGAACTGTATGTGAAGCGAACAAAGACGAACCCCAAATAACCGTACCACCCCAACAGCCCCAGCACAGATTTGTTGAACAGTAGTACAGTTTATGACACCCATAACAAATCGGCCGGCTTTAGGGCCGCGCCTTCAGGGGCCTCAACCCCTACCGGTTGCGAGGGTACAAAAAAAAACACACAACGGTATTCATAAAGAGAGGCAACCACGCGCCCCGAATTCGATTACGATCTTACGATGTTTATGTTACGCCGAAGTGTTTTGTAAAGTCTCAAATGTCCCGCACAAACGTAAGGCGGATCGGTTATCTGTACGATTAAAAAAACCATGGTGGAAGAGAACGTCCGTGATTTTTACCCCCATTTTCAAGGGTCCGTGTTCACGAGAAACCAACACCTTGCGTTTTATTCCCCATGATTGCCCTTGATTTGCCCTTTTCATGCCCCCTTTCATGAGACACACTTGCGCGATTACCACCTAGATCCTCCTCTTAATCCACTTATTCCAC